CTTGCATTAGTAACGTCTGTTGCTGTACATCTGTCATCATGAGTTTGACCTCATTCAGAGAAGGCTGTAATGAAGGCAGGACCTACTATAGGTGTTCTCTCCAGCAGGATGACAAAATGAGGTTGGACAGGATGAACGACTAACTTAGAAAACGTCTTATTTATCTGAGATCCCAGCCTTGATAAGAAAGTTGTTTACATGACCTGCATAAAACAACATGGTGATTTTGTAGTCCATCTTGTCAGTGTTGTAGTTCCACCACAGCAGACATGCATGATCAACATTAATCATTAAATTATGAAACTGCTATAGTGTGTGCTCATTGCGCTCTTACACATTTGCTTTGCTTTTATTGCAATGTGCTTTGCTTTTTTTGGTCATTTTCCGTGAGCTACAGCTTCCTGAACACATGACCAGTCACATGAAAGTGACAACACACTTGGTATTGGACTTTTTTTTTTTTAAATTTATTTATTTTTTTAAATGAGGGTGGATTGGTGTAGTTTTTGTGAGACCCTGTAATCGAGTGATGTCATCTTCATAACTTTGCCCACTTGTTGCTCTGAAGGGACTGTCTCCATCCCCTCATTGACCTTTTAAAGCATAAAATGTCACAATTAATGTTTCCTATGAGTAAGAATTGTATGTACAGAAGAAGAAAATGCTAAGTATACTCCTTTTCTTTCCAGTGTTCCAGCTATCACATGGCATTGAGTTCAATGTCACAAAAGATGGAAAGTTATGCCTCTATGCCAATCTGGAGCTCACATTCTCGGTCACCTTTGAAGATCTTGACAACCTGGTGAGTGTTTTTGTCTTAGCGATGTGAATCACGATTCTTAAGTCTACAGCAGTCCGTATAAATACTGTGCTGACGTGTGATAGCAGCTCTGCTCTTATCAGACCCTTTAGCTGTGACAGTGTTTTTTCCAGTCCTCATGTGAAGAGGAAATGAGGAGATCCCTGAAAAACAAATTTTTGCTATTCAGTATTTTGGTGTGTTTTCCTGGTGGCTATCCGGCTCTTGCAGTGTTGTCTTGTGAGGTGTTGTTTAAGTAATCTCAAAGTTAATTTTTGTTCTTTCTTTTAAACCCTACAATCTGATCTGTTTATCGAAATGTTACTTTTTAAACAGTTGTCATATCTTAGTGGGGACATCTAATTGACAAAATGCTTTTCCTAGCTGCTTACCCTAACCATAAAAAAGATGCCTAATCTTAACCCTTAGGTTAAAGTTAAGTTTAGGATAATTGTAACCCTGACACTGAAACCCTATTGAGTTTCAAATGCCTTCAACCTTGTTGGGACAGTCATTTTGTCCCCGTAAGGGCTGTTGGTCCCATAAGTATAGTAACATTCCAGTTTTCGGTCCCCACAAAGATAAGTAAACATGGTGTACACTTTTTTTTTTTTTTTAAAATGACAAGCTATAATAAAACAGATCCCCACAAATGATTTGTTTTAAAACTTGAACTTTTTCCTACATTTGTCAACATCAGTCCATTAAAATGCCTCTAAAGACTGGAATCAACATGGGGAGGGGAGAAACCCTGTTTGCAAATCAGGAGGCATTTACATACTCTGTGCTGTTCGGGCTTGTCAGGGCAGGTGAAAGTTAAACGAATTTCCACAGCTCTTGAAGCCTGCAGGCTGAAGGATGGGTGCTAGTCATGTTGCTAGTCTTGATTTAACAAATGTTAAACTGCTATCACAAACTCCTGTCAAGTGTTAATAGACTAGGCTACTGTTGGCTAGTAGTTGCTAGTGTTAAATAAGATTAATTTCTAATCTCTATGAACACACACGACAGAACTGGTTCCTTAATTTTGACTTGTGGTTTTCAGAATCTGCTTTTGTGCTGATCATTGGCTTTGACTGTATGTTTTACTTGTATTTGTTTTTTTAAAAAGGGAAAAAAATATGGACATGTTGGCATAATTTAAAATCTAAAGCTGATTGGAGGTTGTCAGTAATCACTGACTGAAAATTAGAAGCTTTCTTGTTTTGCTCATAGATTGTATAGAAGATGATGCAGCTTCTGAGTCTAAAAAGTGAAGCCCTAGCAGAAATGCCTTGACACGGCTTTCTCTTTAATGACCAGCAGGGGGTGCCTCCTGGTTGAAGACATTTCTGTACCTTGCTCTATGACATCAGGAACTGCTTTCATGACAACTTCATGGTTTCTAGCACTAATGTCATGTGATTGAAGTTTATTTTGGTAATTGGTCACAAAAGGCAAGTCAATGACCGAACCCTGGAGAATGACTCTTCAGCCTAGGTTGTGACTGCGACAGCACTCAACTTGAGGATTCACAATAGCCATTCTGATGACCTGCATCCATCTTTCATACTGTCTGAGTTTACCCCTTGCTTGATCAGCTGTGGATCCATTTTGTTATTAATTTGAAATGTATTCTGTTTTGTCCATCTCAGAAGTT